TTGGGTCATGTGGGCTCTGCCCCCATGAATTGATTAATCCATTCAAAGATTAATGAATTAAAGAGTTAATAAATAAATGGGCTATCACAAAATTAGGCTATCACAAGAGTGGTTCTAAGAGCCACTTTAGCTCTCAGTGCCTCTCCTCACAGTGTGACACCCTGAGCCAGGGTCCCCACAAGTAGTTTAAGACCCTCACCAGATACAGCCCTGTGACTTCTCAGCCCCCAGCACCACAAGATATATCTTTATAAATTACCCGGTCTCAGGTATTCAGTCACAGCAACAGAAAATGGACAAAGACAAAATAAAGAAGAAATAGGCCCTAGGGAGTGTATAATCCAGGAGAAGAGACAGTCAGTTGATTGTACAGGGTTCTAATGCAAGTACCAACTGCCCTTGCCTCCAGACAGGCGCGCATCTAAGATGAAATGACAGTTGTGGTAATGATTACTTAGGCCAGAGGGGCAAACAGAGAAATCACAAAGGTTAGATGAGAAGTCAATTTTAAGCAGTGCAGGGTCTGTGGCCGGGGCACCTGGTGAAGGTGAGCATGGCCCTGGGGCAGAACAGGGAATGTATTCTGAGCAAAGACTGCTGAAAACAACGAAGGTCGGAAAGCACGTGCTACATGCAGGGAATCTTAAGGGATTCAACTAGATGCATGAAGAAAAACAAAGCCAAGCTTTGAAAAAATAAAATAACCAGGCTGTCTTTGGGGTATATTACATAAGCAAGGGAGTACTGTTGACTTCTGAGTAGAAAAGTAAAGTGATCAAAACTGTGCTTCAGGACAATGGAGTGGGGTACAGAACACTCTAGAAGCAAGACCAGCAGTTCAGCTGCTTGGGGCATCATTCAGAAGAGAAGCAGTCAAGGCCTAGTCCGTGCCGGCAAATACAGAAATAAATAACATGTAGCATGCATTAAGCTTGTCCTTTTATGTTCTGTATCTTGAAGCTTTGATATCTAAGTACCTGCTGACCCTGGTTGGGGTGTCAACACCCCCGCCCCAACAACTCCTATATTGTCAATGACTAGCCTAGCCTGCAGGCACAGCTTTCATAAGCAAACTGGGCAATGAGAGACCTTAACTCTGACCACTCCCTTTACCAACCTCTCACTCAACTCCCACAGTTTAGGCCAATACCCACCTGCCTTAATCACCCGAGGGACAGGTACCACACAACTGAAGACAGTCCCTAAGACGCAGAAACTACTCAGACTGTAAACCCGCTTACTGCTTAGTCCATTCCTAACCCCAGAAACCACAAAGGAGGCTCTCATCCAGGCTTTTCCCCTTAAGCCTGCAGCCTCCTGACTGACCCAGGGGGGTTTCTCCCTATAGTCACCTGTGTAGCATAGCAACTTGCCCCCTGTTTCTAGGAATCTAGACATGACTATTTTATATATCAGAAGTTATTATAAGGGTTAAATTAGGAAATGTAAGTGGAAGTACTCTGAAATTTAAATTTTGTGTCAATATTAAAGTTACTAAGTCCCATCAGTTCTGTACCAGCTATGTTTAAGGACACCCAGAATATGTTTTATGACACATTAACTGTGTAGACATTAAACAAAACAAAACAAAAAAACCCTACTTCCAGGCGGTGCTTGTGGCTCAAAGGAGTAGGGCACTGGCCCCATATACCGGAGGTGGTGGGTTCAAACCAGGCCCCGACCAAAAAACACTGCCAAAAAAACCTACTTCCTTCATGACAATCATTTCCATGTCTAAGTGTCTCATCATAAAACATTCTGGTTGGCTCTATTTAAGAAAAAGTCCCCAGGGAAACTAGAAACAAAGAAAAGACAAAAACAAGAACACTGGAGACAACTGGAGTCTTCCACACTCACACCTACAGCAAACAGTAAACACAGCCTAATTCCTAGGTGTGAAACATAGAATCTCACATTAAAGGCCATTTGATCTTGGTTCTTACTACCTGATAGGATATGTTCAGTGTTCAACAAAAAATTACAAAGCATGTCAAAAAGCAAAAAAATAGAGTGTGAAGAGACAACACAAGATCAGAACCACACTCAGACACAACATAGATTTTGGAATTTTCAGATAATGAATTTAAAATAACTATGATGAATATGCCAAGGGCTCTAATGGAAAAGATGAATAACACAGCAAGAACAAGTAACACAAACAGAGATGGAAACTCTAAGAAAGAACCAAAAGGAAATCTGAACAAGCAGGGAATAAGCAAAGGAACTGGACAGAAACATGGGTCCAGAGGGCAGAAGAAGCAGTCAGCAGTTGTCTCTGCCACAATGGGAGATTTGTCCAATATTGTTAAGCCAAAGAGAAAGCTCTAATACAGGACAAACTGGAGTGAGGAAGTGGACAACTGACTAATACTTGCTTCCTGAGATCCTTTCCAAGATCAGGATTAAGTCTTAAAAGGAAGAAGATGAGAAAGAACACGGTAGATCAAACAAATAGGCTGTAAATTTCAGTGCCTGTGAAACTGTGTTTTAATTAGATATCACAGCTCCCTCAGAAAGGGAAGGCCACACCACTTCATGCCACTTGTCCTTTCATTAATAGTTAATCTACCATGAATCTGTCAATATTTAAGAAATTTCCAAAGCAATTTTTCTAAAACTCTCAGCTACTATAAATGTATGATTTGTATTTTTTAATTTTCACAAATTCAATTTAATTTTACATTGAAAGTTCCATACCTGAAGGTAAAAACAAAAACCAGATGAGTAGTAACCAACATTCCTGAAGTACATATCCACTAATTCAGTAAACAAATATCTACTTAGCAACTCCATTCTAGGTAATAAATGATATAGCAATGAATAAAACAAAAATCTCTGCCCTTGAACAGTACCATTCCGTAGGTGAAGATGGATTAACAAACAGGTATAAAATATACTTAGGAATAAATTTTATGGAAAAATTACAGTAATGTTCAGGACTGAAGTGCTAAAAAGGAAGTATTATTATTTTACGTAGGGTGGTAGAAGATTCTTTGAAATGGTGACATCTTAAGAAAACAAGTGAGTCATGAGATCATCTGGGGGACAATATTCCAGTCCCATAACGGGAATGCAGGACAGTGGTGCAACAATATGGAGCATAATTAGCCAAAGGGAAGAGACTGAAGTGAGGGCCTATAGGGCCCTGTAAGGATGCAGCTTTCCTGAGTCGAAGAGGAAAAACTTGAAGAGGCTTTTGTGCAGGAGAGCCACACGATTACTACTGAAAGGTGTTGACAAGGAAACTTTCTATGTGGCTACCCCAAGGTAAGGCATTAACTTACATGGGAGTGGTAGCCTGAACTTACTCTGTAGGTAGAAATGGTAGAATTTGCTTAAGAAGGGGGTAGAAGAAGGGTGTCAAGGGCAACTCTAAAGTATCTTAGCTGAGTAACTCAAAGAATAGAATTTGTTACTTAATAAAATGGGAAGGATCGTAGAGTTAGTTAGAAAAGAGGAAATATATTCGGTTTTGGATATAAATTTTGAGATGTCTATTAACTTTTAAATGCAGTTTTTTTTTTTTTAAGTTTGCTTTCTTGGGAGAGGTCTTGGCTAGAGATAACAATTTGTGAATCATTGATTTTTAAAGGCCTAAGATGCTAGTGAAGAGAACAGGTTTAGGGCCAGCCCCAGCGAAGACTCCAGTATAGTCACGGCTGCATAATGATGTTTTTGTCTATAAGGAGCCACATACTTGATTATGGTCCCCTAAGACTTCAACAGAGCTGAAAATTTCCTATTGCCTAGTGACAGAACATTATCTTTTCTAGGTATAGATACGCAAATACTTATCATTGTGTTACCCCTGCCCACAGTAGTTAGAACAGTAAAATGCTGTACAGATTTGCAGCTCAGGAGCAGTAGGCTATACCACAGAGAAGTGTAGTAGGCCGTACCATTTACCTTTGTGTAAGGGCACTCCATGATGTTTGCACAATAACAAAGTTGCCCCAAAAGGCACTTGTCAGGAGGTATACCTTCAGATGTATCACTGTGGCTACCAGAGAGACCAGACAGTATCAGCAAACCAGAGAAAAAGAGCAGCCATGATACAAAAAGAGGACCAAGGAAGAGTGGTATGCCAGAAACCAAACCAAGTGTTTCAAAAGTCTAGAAGTGATAAACTAGATCAAATCTGCTCACAGGTCAGTTCAGAACCAAACTGTGAAGTGGTCACTGCAACTGGCTGCACAGATATGGCTGACTTTAATAAAAGCTGTTCTGGATTTGTAGAAGGGACAACATCTGAGCACCACAGGCAAGAGAGAATGCAGGGTTCTCGCCCAAGAACTTGCAACAAATTCCGCTTAAGAAAGATCCACTGAGCTGGAGGGAAGCGGAGAGGGGAGGAGAGATTATGGTATGAGATGAACAAAAGTGGTCTCCAAGGGTGGGAAAGCAATGAATTAAGGAATTTTAGTGGAATTTAGCAAAACATAATGGGTAGTACGAAGGAATCATTTAAAGTTGTGAGGCCAGTCCGCAGGGCTGGGCGCGTCCTCCAACCTGTTTGCCAGCCCGCCGCACAGTAGCAGAATGTTGTAAGCCCCAAAGTTTTCAGTGAGGATGAGGAGCTGGCGGGGAAAACTGCTACTGCAGACTAAACCACGGTAACCAAGGGTTGCGCAGACACTCGGGTGTCGGAGAGAGACTGCAAATCGGAAACTACGGGAGTGCTGGCAAAAAGGTGGCTCTAGACAAAGCAGGTCTTTCCAGAGCAGCGACCCGAGCCTACAGCAACGGTGGTCTTCAACGGGCCGGACTAGGCTGCGGACGCGGTGGCGGGAGGAGCCCTTGGGCCCTAGAGTTAGAGTCCAGCCTGGACAACACAGAGACCTCCTGTCTAACAACCCCCTCCAAAAAAACAAACAGCCAGGAACCAGGCTGTATTAGGCCGAAGGAGGAGCCGCTGCTGCCTGGGGGCTTCGCGGGCTGCAGACCGACCCGGATACGGGAACCGGAGGGTGAGCTGCGAAGGACTCGGCGCTGGGACTTACAACCCGTAGCTCTGCGGCTTGCGAGTGTGCGCTGGGGACACCGGCATGGCGGCGACGGGCCCGCCCGCCCTCTCCCGGCTACCTCCCGGCGCTGGAGGCTCCGGCCGAGGCCCGGGGGCGTTTGCCGGGCGTCATGGAGACGGCGGCACCCGGCCCAACAAGCGGCCGCGCGGTTGGCTGGCGGCGCGCGGCCGGGGAGGAGGGAGGAGGCGGAGGGGAGGGCAGAGGGTTGGCGGAGCTGGAGGAAGCGCCGGACGACGACCAGCCGCAGGAGGCGGGCGGCCCGGGCCCAGGCCCCGCCCAGGCTCTGAAGCTCCGGGCTGCGGGCGGATGGATGGGGTGTCTTCAGGCGGCGGTGGCAGCGGGGAAGGCGGCGGCGGCGGCGGCGGCTGTAAGTGCAGCCTCCACAAACTCCTCCTCCCCTGCTAGCCTTGTTCGGGGTGAGGGACGCCGGAGGTGTCCTCGATCCCCTTTCTCTCCCTCCCCTCCCCCACCGCCCTGTCCCGCCCGGAAGACCCTTGACTTCCGGGGAGGGGCTGCGGGAGAGAGCGCGCCCGGCCCCTCCCGGCGCCACCGCCGAAGGCGCATGCGCACCTCTCCGCCGCCGCCCGCCCCCTGCCGGCTCTGTCTTTCCGCCTCGGCTGCGGCGGCGCGCTGGGAACCCGCTGCGGAGTGAGTTCGCTCGCCCCGGCCGCTTCCGCCCTTCTCTCCGGTCTGTCCCTGGGCCCGGTCGGGGTGGGGCTAAGATGACCACCGCCCCGTGGCCCCGCCTCTTTTCTCCTATATTTTTCTCAGTTGTGCCCCAGTCCCAGGGATGCTCCTGCGTGCCCTGTAGCCCCGGTGGTGAGCGGGGTCCTGGGTCCGCCTGCCCTTTTCGGAGGGAGTGAGGGCGGGGGGAAAGAGAGGCTCAAAAAGGCATTTCTGTGAGGGCATGAGGTCCTCCCACGCCCTGGGACAGATGCTGGCCCTTCTTTGAGTGGCCTTGTTCTTTCAGCTTGTAGTGGATAGGTCCCTGGCCTGGAGCCCGTCTCTGCTCCTCGCATGCTGTGTGACCTTGAGCGAGTCACTAGCCCTCTCTGGGCTTCAGCCTTCCGTATGTAAAGCTTTCTACAACGCTAAAATTAGTTCTGCACAAAAACGTATGCAATTATAAGGTCGGCCTGGCTACTGAGGCTGCTTAGCCGAGAAGACCTGCAGTTGATTGAGTCTTCTTCACTCCTGGGTGGGATGAGGCGACCTTTTTATTGGGTCGCTTTTATTTCTTTACCAGTGGTTCCAAATTGCATGACCCAAGGCTCATTAATGTTTTAAATTGTCACGGGACACTTGTCCTAATTCCTGGGCATCTTTTTAAAGATGTGAAACTGCGTAGATGGTGAGCTTTGTGGTATCATGGTTTTCTCCTTGCTACTGAGGCTCTCTTTCCTTTGATCCAGATGGTGTGGTGGCTCGATTCTCCCAGTGCCTGGCTGAGTTTCGGACGTGGTTAAGAACCAACTGGTTGAGGTTCAATGCAGACAAGACGGATGTGATGCTGGTAGGCAGGGGCACGCGTGGAGATTAAGGGAGGGAAAATCCAAACTCCCTCAAGTAATAGAAATATTATTGTATTACTTTTCCAGTTATGTTCCAGTGTTTGAGAACTGTTGATGAGTCAGAATTTGGGTGAGATAAAAATAACGTGTTGATGTAAGAACCATAAACACATCAGTTTATAATTTGATAAAATGGCAGGGCCACTGGATAAAAGTATTATGTAAAAACTATGAAAAGAAAAACTAAAATCATTCTTCGAAGAGCCAAAAGGCTATATAAACGTTTTAAGGTGGCGTTTTATTATTGCTATTTTATTAATAATAAAAATCAAGCTAACAAAACGATGATGCTGATTGTGGTATAGATGTGGGGCTTCCAAATGTAATGCATTACTGCTTTCCAACCTGCATTCTGCGTACTGACTGACATAAAGGTAAACTCTATTTAAAATGTCATATTAAAAAAACTAAGTTTTTTTAATAGTTATTTTCAACCAAGTTAGTAATTCATATATTTTTACCTCCACATCGTGAAGTGTTGGTAGTCACTTTTAAATAAAAAGTTTACAAAACATTTTACAAATGAATCTCAAAAAAGGGATCCCTGAACCCTGAAAATTGTTAGATACAGAATTTGTTGTTACAGTTTTGGATGTGTTGCATTAATCTATTTCAGTCAACCAGCTCGGAGTCTAAATTGTTACAAGTACAATATTTTCTTGGTGCATTTTGGGTGGTACATTTTTTGAGTTGCATAACAGATGAGTTTAGATAGTGTAGACACATGTGTTTTAAGTAGGTGTTGGTACTGAATAAAAAGTTATATTTCTTAGGTACATGCATATTGCCAAAGCAGCTTATTTATTGGTTAGTTTAAAGCCCTGGTTGAAGTAAAATTGTGATCTTAAATGCTTTTGTTAAGTAACAGTAGAATAATCCTGAGGAGGGGTGTGTGTGTGTGTGTGTGTGTGTAACTGCCTTATAGCCTCTATAGAATTGTATAACAACTTTTGAATGGAGGATTCAGTAAATTATTTAAAAATAATTTCTCAATGTAACAGCAGTTTTGAGTATGTTATTGTGGTAAACATTAATGTTGGTTTGCCAATAAGGGGGCCTTTAGGTGGGAATGGAGCTGAAGAGGTGTTTATGCAGGCTTTGTATAGTGATTTTTTGTGTTTGTTTTGGGATATTAAGCATAAACTTCATAAAATTGGTGTTAATCACACTTTTCAGTTTAACTTTAAACATTTTATTACACAATTCTGATAGAACTACTGTTTTGGATATCACATTAATAAGTAACAAAGCATAATCATTTTAAGTGAGTTGTATGTAGTAAATGATGAATTTTCTCTTGCCCTGAGCTCTGTCATGTCCTGTTTCCAGGTCTTCTAGTATCAGTAGATTTTAAAGATAATATTTTTTGTTAATCCAAGTATACATATTGACTATTTGCATTTGGATACAAAGACGATACCTGTTGAATTAATCCAAAGGGCTGAAGAAGTAAGGGTAATGGATGGAAGGAACAAGGAGGTTGACACTGGCTTCATGGGGAGATGTTCCTAGTATTTGAGCACGTTTTTTTTTTTAAAGGAGCAGCCTCTTTATGAGATGTAGTGAGTCACTGTAGATGTTTACACATAAGTAGGAAAGTCTGGTGGTAGAAGCATGATGGAGGCATAATTCTCATCCTGACAGAGCAGAGAACTGACTAAAGAACTCTAAGGCCCCATCGGACACTCTTACTCTAAAACTAAGCAATAGTTAATTTTTCCATAGTTGATACTGAATGACGGTAAACGAGCGTTTTGAAAAAGACTACATTCCTTAAGATGACTCCTGAAAATTTTAAAGATAAGTATATACCACTAGAATAAAAAGAGACTAAAAGTATACTAAATTCAGTAGTAATGTGTTACTTATAAATTATAGTATTAGAGCTGCTTCTCTTTATCTTCAGAATAGCTGCACCTAAAAACCCAACTGAACTCACAATTATTAAAAAAAAGGGGAGAAGAAAAATGTAGAGGGAATTTGTTTTCCTTCAAAGAAAATGCCATTTAAAACTAGTAATATTGATAGACAATATTAACAAACTTAAAAAGTCATTTAATAGTAAGGTGGACACCCATTTAAAAATGTTTCACACCTCAGTTTTCCTGACAGTTTCAGAAATCATTCAGTAGCTTAAAGGACCATGATCTCTTGCCCATTATTACAATTCGGGTTTCTGTTGGTGAGTTTAACTGAATAATCAAAGATTCAGATCATTTAAACTAAACTTACATAATAATACTTTAATTTTCCTTTTGGTAGCCAGCTAAATTTCATAAATTAGCTTTCCTATTTTAATGGAAAATCCTCCTTCATCTCCATGGTATAAAGTCTGAGTTTCTACCTCTAGACCCCTTAACTGTTTTTATCTGTACCCACCTCCAGTCCATGCACATCCATCCTTCTTTACTTTCAGCTCTTTTCATCAAGTGTATCAAGTGAAAACAATTTGGGTATGAACTGACATTTATAGAAAGTCATTATTTCAAGTCAAAAAGGTTAACATAATTCACTGGGGTTACTTTTAGAAACTATATACCTATGTTAAGTAATTATTCCCCCAAGGAATCTTGAAAAACACTTTTATATAAGTTTTCTAAAAAAAAAATGAAAATACTATACGGTACAGTTAATGGTAAAAATTGTTTGTAGACTTGGGAACCTTAAAGTTTTCCTTTCTCTTCTTTCCCTTGCTTTTCTTTCAGTAGAAAATGTGCATCAGATGTTTATGTTTAATTGGTTTACAGACTGTCTGTGGACTCTTTTCCTGTCAAATTACCAGGTAATGTCCTTTCACTTAGCAGCTACTTCATATACTCATAAATGTAGTTTATTCATGCACAAGTTATTACTAGACACAGCAGTTTCAAGTTAATGTTGACTCTTTGGAAGTAGGAAAATGCGTGATAGAGTCTAGAATTTTAAGGGAATACAAATAATTTAAGTAAACAGCTTCCCCTATGTAGCATTATAATTGTGAATTTTAAGAAAAGTTGTATATGTACACATTTACGTAATATATTGTAGCAATGGCTCACATTATTGGAAAGGAATGAATAATTTTTATATTTAACTGGTTAATTTCAGTAGTCACTTTTGAAACCACTATGAGGAAACTTGAAGATTTATAACATTTTAGTTCCAGATTTCTTAAATGTGTTAGTTCACGGTTTAATTTCACCTTTATAGTATCTAGTGTCCGCCTTAGTGATGGAAGTGATACATGTTACTTTGAAATGATTGGCTCTGGCAATCATCAGAATTGGCATCAGGGCCAATTGGCAGCTCTCGGCCAAGACATTAAAACTTTCAAATTACAGGCGTTTCAGGCATTGCAGATAACTGGGTTCTCCCACCGTGCAGTCAAGTAGGAGATTATATATATCCACTAAAGAGCATGTTCTCAGTATTTTACATTTCTAAGTTTTGGCTAATTGTGCAAAATCTAACCTTTGCACAACTTCGTTGTTAATGGCATCACCGAAAGTGTGAGGAAAAGCCAATGACATAGGTGGATGGCAGAGTGACTATTATAATCCCTTTTCTTCATCTTTGCTCTGCCCTCTCTAACGATTTGGGGATGCAGGATTTTACTTTCCCGTCGGGAATTAACCCGGAGAGAAATCTTTCTCAAGGGACTGCCGCTTTCAAAGCGCAGTTCTTGCCGCTGTTGCATCAGAGCAACATCCGTTTTCCAGCAAACGCACTTGAGAAACCGACCGCCGTGTAAATGTTACGTGTTTTCCCCGCTATGTAAGTGCTGGACCTAGCGCCTTACACCGTCCTTTGACTTCTCTGCTCCCTAGACGCCCTCCCGGGCTGGAGCCGCGGGTTGAGGGGTACGGGGCGTCCCCAGCGGAGGGGCCCACCTCCCCCCACACCCACCTTGACTCCGCCCCCTTCCGCGCTCGCCGGGGAGGGCCGGCTGTGGAGCCGCGTGCGCGCGCCCGTGCGCGCGCCCCTGGGTCCCGCGCGCGCGCGCCGGCCTTCTCCCTCCAGCCGGGCCCAGCCAGGGCGCCGCGAGGGGGCGGAGTGGGGTGTGGTGGGCGCGCTCGGGCGGCTCCTGCGCGTTCCCGCCCAGGCAGCGGCGGCGGGAGCGGCGGAGACGGCGGCGGCTGGAGTCCCGTTGCCGAGTCTCACATCCGGGTTCTGGCCGTGACCCAGCCGCGGCCGCCGCGGAGATGTGACCCGGCAGTACGGCAAACATGGCGGAGGTAAGGGAGCGTGCTCCCCTCCCCGTCCCGGGCCGGCGCCCCGGGCCCTGGCCCGGAGGAGTGGGGTGGGCCTGGCCGGGAGAGGCCCGGCCCTGCCGGCGCCACTGCCCACCTGTTGTCCGGAACGGGCCGTGCTCCGGCGGGAGCTTCGCCTGGAACTTAGTTGCGATGGGTCCGGGGGAGGAGGAGGCGGCGGCGCAGTGGGACTTGGGGGCAGTTTGAAGGGCGGCGCGGCGCGGTGGGGCCGGGGCCGGGGGCTCTGCTGGGGAGGGGTTCCCGTGGCGCAACTCCGGGGCCGGCCCGGGCCGGGGAGCTGCTGCTTCCTCTTCTTGTGAAGTTTGCCTCCCTCGGCGGGATGCTGCTGCGCCCTTCCGCGTCACCCCGGCCGCCTGCTGCTGACCTCCAGCCTCCGGAGGGGGACGCGGGGTCCGCGGCCTTCGATGAAGTCCGAGCCGCAGTCGGACCCCCCGGCCGAGGGGGTCTCCACGGCTCCGTCCTGCCCCGGGGGAACCTTTGAGTGACCCCGCGCCCTCGTTCACTCTCCACGCACCCCGCTCCCCCCAAGTCAAGACTACCTATCCTTGTCTTTCTCTTTTAATTTTTCTTGCCTTGGAGATTTGTCTTGTTTCTTTTTCCTCGTTTTCTAGTAAACAAGTTCATTTCGGGGCCCCAAATCCGTGGACAACCAGTGTGGTTCTGTCATTAATTGGAACTTACTATATATATGCTACTGGAAATTTAAATTTTTGCCTCCAGTTTAAACTTGTAAGCATCAAAAGTTTTGTGGACCTTTCTGTTTTGTTTTGCTTACTTTTTTCCTTATGGGTGGAAGAATTTAAGTGTTTTTTATCCTCTACCTAGAGTTCGAGATAGTTTACTTGGCCTTTTTAAGTCTCTTCTAAGATGAGCCATTCTAAATTTTGACTAGATAAGACATTTTTCTTACATGAATTGCCGTTTTCATGGTTTTGGAGGTCCCCAGAACCTTTCAGGAAGGAAGGAGAGATTTTACTCTAGCAAGATTGCTTGCAGTCATTATTCATTTTTAAAAACATTGACTATTTCTGATTTACATCTACATTTAGATCTTGTGTTCGTTTTCATTTCTTTTGCTTGCTGTGGTTAAAGAATTGTATTTCAAGGTACATGAATTGGAGAACATAGTACTTCCTCTTCGACATAAATGTGACTGGGTGTGTTCCAGTAGACGTATATAGTACCTGGATTTTAGTCCTGGTGAGATTAAGTGTTTCTGTCCTTCATATTTAAGGAGGAGAAGGAAGTGTATGCATGTTGGTTTACATACATTTTATCAGTCAGTCTTCGCTGGACCGTTTCTCAGGGAATGGCCCTTAGATAAGCAGTAATACGCGGTGTAGGTCTGTAATTTTCTCCCCTTGTGATGGCTGCTCAAGTGGTTTGAGGTTTAAGTTGAGGATAAGTTGCCATATTCTAAGGCAAGGTAGGACCTAAGGAAAATAGCTTAGTGTATTGTAGGTTTTAAAAAAAACAGTATTACTTAGTATGTAAATGAAGCTTTTACCATTTCTTTTTGTTTTATAAATTAAAGGTAGTGTAAGATAAAGGAAAAGCTATTTTGCGTCACTAGTCATTTCCTAATATTTTCTAGTTTATGCTTTAGTTTTCTTAAATAGTTCGCCACTTGGAGAATGCAGTGCTTGTGCTTTATAGGAACCTGTGGATGGTTCAATTTAAGAAGGAAAAACCTTCTGTTTTCAGTGCATTTATTTAATGACCTCTTTAAATTCTTTTTGATATTCTTCAGTTGCTTGTAGATGGTTTTATTTATAAGGAATTTGGGCAAGCGTAGAGGAACCTTCTTGTTTTGTGTCCTACAGAAAAATATAAAACGATTGAAGAGGTGAAAAAGTAACTTCTAATTTTCCTAGTCTCAATATGTTAGTAATTGGGATGATTTTTGAGACTAGTCGTTTAAAAACATCAGGTGCAGGAGCTGTGCTGGGCGCACAGAGGCGTTTCTGGGCCTTTGCGTGAGCTCTCAGTGGATGCATCCTTCATGATGCCAGTGTAAGGCATGCAATAGGATCATGCAGATGCTCGGCTATTGTACTTTTGGTCAAATAAACCTGAGGATTGAAGGGTATCTTGTGAAGTGGCAGTAAGCAACAGTATATACTTATGTATGTGGTTAAGTCTGAGGGGAAAAGCAGGCTGTTGAGGAGGTGCAACTCCAGAGAAAAATGTACGTTATTATCCTTGTGGGGTTTTTTGTTGTTGCTTCCTACTTAAGAGCATGGTCCTGACCTTGTTTTCCAAAAACAGTTTAATTCTTGAGTACAGATTGCTTTAGATGTGAATGGACTATACTGATTTTTCATACTTGATCTGATTATCTTAATCCATAATATAATAGGATGTATATATTTAATGGTTGTTCAGTTGTGGTAACATTAAAAACATATTTAATATGCTTAGAAGAAATGACATATGTTCCTTTCTTAATACTTTTTGGCAGTATTTCTCATACCTTATTATCACTTAAAATTATTTACTGACCTTCTATAGTAAAAGGAGGCTCTGCTAGTCACTTAAGGGAATTGCAGGGTAGGTAGTTGCAAGTTTTATGAAGGCAGTGAGAAAGAAAAAATAAGAGGAAGAAATAGTTGATCCTTTGAGTTTAATAAGGAATGTGGTGCAGGGACCTTTGGGAACTAACAATTTGTCTTCTTTCAGACTTTGTAAACATAAGGGACTTTCTACTCCAGGAAAAGAGAAGCCTTGTCACAGGGTAGGGTTTGTCTCTTTACCTGGGCCACACTTCTGTGATGTAAAGAGAAAAAATTAAGGAATTTGCTTTTTGTATTGGTTTTAAGTATTTTAATACTTCTAAAAATATGTATCTTTTAATTCCCTATCAGACTTATACATTTATTTCTCTTGAAAACAGATTCCGTGGTTAGCATTTTCTGAGTATATTTGGATTTTGTTTGTTTAAGAAGTAGGATTGTGTTGAGGGTTATTCTGCAAAACGTTGATTTTACGCTAAACAAAATTTGTTTCACGGCAGTGAATGTAAACTTTAAATAATTGTCTACATTGATACTGAATTTTCTTTCTTTCTTTTTTTTTTTTAAGAATTTTTGCTTGAGAGCTTTGAGTTTGTCCAAAGTAGTCAAGAACACCAGTGCGGAGAGGGCACTGACTCTCAGTGCAGGGGCAATGGGAGAAATAAAGAAGTGAATTACTTTAAGATAATTTTGTTAAGTAAAACAAATTGGTTTTCCACATAATTCAGAAATGAAACAGTACGTTTGAAGCTTAAGCATGTCTTTATGAAAGGTGATCAGCTATATAGAAAATTTTTAGTTGGTGTTCAGAAGGAGTGTTTATATATTTCAGAAGATTTGCTAATAGTTTCAAAATTTATGGAATGATTAAACTGTTCAAGTATCATTCGTTGCTTGGGGCCCATTTTTTATAGTTATTCTATGACTTAAAAGAATGACTGTTATAAATATGTAGACATGAGATTAATAAAGTAGCACTCCAAAAAAGGTTTTTTCAAATTGTGATTTTTTTCCTTACATCCTAGGTCTAAAAAAAAAAAATAAATTTTGATGGGCACCTATGGTTCAAGGAGTAGGGCACCAGCCCCATATACCAGGGGTGGCAGGTTCAAGCCCAGCCCCAGCCAAAAACTCCAAAAAACAAACATAAATAAATTTGGAGGAGACAATTAAAACATTTGTAAGCTAAGTACTTTTTAGTACTATGTTTTTTTGAACAATTCATAGTAAAAGTTAGATCTTAAAGGAAATTCAATTAAACTTGAAGAAATCTAAATCTTTTCATAAAGAAAATGAAACTGAGCAGGGAGTTTATACGTTGGTCTTGGGTCAAGGCACAGACTCCTGAATCCCTCGTGGGTATTTTCTGTAAGACCATTGTCCTATGAATTATTACTCCTGTGGTAATTAGGATTAAAATTAGGTGACTTGCTTTTGTATGGGAGGAGAGGGATGGCTAGCCTTAGCACAGCACCCCTCTGCCTTCCACCCTGAAGTAGGGTCCCTGACTCCTTGGCTTCTGTTCCTGACTCATCTCCACTGCTGCAAAAGTCTGGAGTAGAGTCTACATAACTAAGTGATGGTAACACTTTAAAAAAGATAGTGGAATTGGTTTCAGGGGGAAAATTCCTTCAGACTCATTGAAAATAAGGTTTTGATTTCTTGGAAGGAAAAGGTCTAATGATTACTTTTGTGTTTTTTGTAAAAATAATGGTAATATTATAGTTAATTAATTTTTTACTCTTTTTCAAATTATAATATTCTGTTGTATGGAACATTTACCATCATGTTCTAATAAAAGAGAAATATTCAGCAAATCTGAGGCGCTGAATGTTTGCTACAACTGTTAACCGTTTATCATCTGAATCATACAAATTATATGGGTGAAGGTGGCTTGCCATAAAAGTGACTAGTTTGTTTTTTTATTTGATTTTGCTCATTCATATGCTGTCTTTCTGTCTGTCTGGTGTTGTTTTCCATGTCAGATAAAATATGTATCAAAAAAACCCCTAATTTTTCAAAATTACAGATTTTAGACAGATAGTAAGAATTACTAGGTTTTCTTAAAAATCAAAAAGTAGAGGAAGAAAATGGAAATGGCTTGTAATTCTCAGTGACTTTGTTTTTAAAAAAGAATGAAGAGAGTATGAAAACGATTAGAAAATCCCAACAGTATATAGAAAGGTAGCTTGCTGTCTCCAAGATTATAAAGAGCAACCAGGGGAGAGCACAGGGGAGGGCAACTGTCTGCAAGCCTCCCCAGAAACCGAGCCTGCCAACACCTTGATCTGCGACTTGTTTAGAACTGTGGGAAAATAAATTGCTGTTGTTTAAGCCTAAAAATAAAAAGGTTATGCATAGTGGCTCATGCTTGTAATCCCAGCATTTTGGGAGGCTGAGGCAGGAGAATCACTTGAGGAGTTTGAGACCAGCTGCCACACTGCACTCCAGCCTGGGTGTCAGAGGAGACCTTGTCTCTTTAAAAAAAAAAAAAAAAGGTATGAAATGCAAAAAACCCTCTTTTCTTACCCAGACCTAACTATTGTTAACAGATTCTTGTGAATCCTTTTGGGGAAAAAGTATCATGCATGTTCCAGCCCAGTTTACTCCTTTTCCTATACTTTTTTAAACTGCTAAAAAAACTTCTTAAGCATTTTTTTTTTCTCTGTCAGTACATACAGACTTCTCATTCTTTTTAATGGATTCATTGTGTTCTATCGTTTAGGAGAACTGTGTATCAATTTTAAGTGGTTAAATAGTAGACTTTCTGTTTCTTCCCAGCTTTTTGCTATGAACATCATAGAAGCACAGAATGTTAAACGTGTAGCTGTCTTGTTGTACTTTAAGTATGTCTGGGGTAAGTCCGTGTTGGCAGAATGATCTCTAGAACGGGTGAAACATTGAAACAGCTCATCTTTCTGCAGGGAATGGACGAGTGCATTTTAAATACATTTTAATCCCCAACTTCAAATCTTGGCTACTTACATTCTGTAATTTGAGCTTTTTCTAAAATTAGGTACTGTTACAAATAAGAAATACTTGTTTAGGTTTAGTTTTGTTTTTTTCTCTCCTTACCTCTTTCTAATCTGTAGTGATTAATGGTAGATGTTCCAAGTTTTCCTGGAGGGTATCAGCAATAACAGTTTGTAAGGAGACAGGTAACGGTCTGGCATGACAGATTTAGTACTAGAAGTCACATTTTAACATGTTTTAAAAACCACTTTAAAATGGAAAGAGAAAGTAAGTGGGGGAGAGATAAAGAGGAAATTTTTTACATCGTCATTTCTCTAGAAAGTGTAGAAAGAACACTGAGGAGTCGGAGGTTCTAGGCTTCAGAGCTGCCTCGCTTGCCGTGCGAGCTTGATGCAGTCAGTTTATCTCCTGTTACTCACCCATGAAAGAGGTAGGCAGAGCGGGTATCATCGCCAGATTGATGGTTAGGATCAGGTAATTGGATGCATGTGAAATGCTTAGTACTATGTAAGTGGAGGCTGAGCCTGCAGTTCTCTTTCATACCAAAGTAAAAATTGTCTCCCTTCCACACTGAAACCTCCTGTGTTATAATACTAAATTCACATTTTATCTTGAAAGATGATTGCTTCTGATAATGAGTTCAAAGTAATGTTTATAGTATGAATTGTTTTCAAATGCCAGTTTTCCAGTTTTGTCTTTGCTTTAACTGGATATAATTACTTTTTAAAAAATTGATCTCACTCCTACTACCAAGGTGATACAATAGAATTTTATTTTGGACATTAAACATCAAAATGTATCTATAGGCAAACCATCTGTGCTTTCCCTCCCCCATGCTAAATCTAAGTAGGCCTTCAAATCATAGTCTAGAAATATTCTGTTAATTGTGTGTCTAACATAATATGATCATTACTGTTATATTGAACATTAGGTGTTTTGCTCTACACTAGCAATGCTTATAAATGCTACTTGTCCTCCAAGCATTTGGTAGCTTTGATAGCAAAGTATTTGAGGCCTTTACAGAACTTTGAAGTGGTAACTATTTACTAGTAAAAAAAATAATCAGTAAGAGACAGTATTTGCTATTTGCCATTCAAAATCCCATTAATATCTAACATCTATAAAAATGTACTTTTTATTCCTCAGTAGAGTTACGTTTCTAATCAGCCTTTTTTAAAAATCAGAATACTATTAAATGGAATAATTATTTTAGCGTTCATAAAGCTACTGTGTGGATAGTGAACTCTGGCCAGAAGATGATGATTAGCATTTCTGTAGCCTTGTAAAGGGGTTGTGCTTATACTTGGGAGGTAAAGTATAACTGTGTGAAACACAAGTTGATTAAATTTTAAAATCCTGGTTTGCTGTATAATAATTTGTGTGGTAAATATATTTTAAGCCAGAAATGTGTAGCTCTGCCCAAAAGATTGGAAGCAAGCTGGAAACCCTTTTGTGGTTACGTTACTCTTTCCATGTGAGCCTTCTGTCCTGCCCACTTCCCATTAGAGAGACCAGATTGAAAAAGTAGCGCTGTGTTAACTGTGTTCCGGGCAGAGTAACTTTCAAATGATAGTGGCCTGACGCTGGAATGTATGATACTGGGTACTGTCAGTTTTTTGTTGAACAGTAACTAAAGGAAATAGCCCTCCTCTTATAAGGATTTAGAGCAGCGCTTCCCAACCTGTAGGTGGCAACCCCTTTATAACAATGAAAATACATCCTGCATATCAGATATTTACATTATGATTCGTAACAGTAGCAAAATTACCCTAATGAAGTAGCAACAAAAATATTTTTACAGTTGGGGGTCACCACAACCTGAGGAACTGTATTAAAGGGTCAGGGCCTTAGGAGGCATTAGGAAGGTTGAGAACCACTGATTTAGAGGAAAAAAATAGGATCTTGGAAAAGTGTGCCTCAAAAGAACTTAAAATGTGGAATCTAGAATTCCGTGCTTAACTACAATTGTATAATGTGGACAGTCTTTAAAACAAAATTTTGGCGTCTGCCTTTTGGAAAACCAAGCCTCTCCTCTCCTCCTTTCTGCTTAGTCCTGCTTGGCTCTGCCCGTTAGACCCCATCTCCCTTTTGCTGGGGTTTTAGCTTTTCACCATCTGGTCTCTAATGAGCAGGAAATGTATAGCTCTGAATTGACTGACAAGGTTTTAGTTATAAAGTCTGTGTTATTTGAAGCATCTTTTAAGTTTCTATTATTGAATTTGTCTTATAGGAGTTCATGTTTGTAGATGACTTGTTCGTAATTGTGAATTAACTGAGTAAAGGTAAACTGTAACACCACCACGTGTTTACAGTGATAACATTTCTAAAATAAGTTGCTACCAATTTTATTTTTCCATTTTCAACTTGCTGTGGTCAGCTTCATAAGAGGTGGGCTGGTGCAGTCAAAGGAAGGAGCATTATAATGGAGAGTCCATGGACTGCAGAGAACCTCGGCTTGAATGGTTATTAATTCTATCATAACTTAATATCTTATCTATTAGTAAAATTAACCTAATGTATTTGGTACTTAAATAGCATTTTAATTTTTCCTTCTTGCTTGTTTTATAACATACTTGTATTTAAAATAATGTCTAAAATTGTTTCCCCATTCCTTCCATACTCATTTTTTTTAAGCCAGACACCAATTAGATAGCAAACTTTATGCATAGTTTTTTTTCTGTATTGATAAGAGAAAAATCTGTTTTAGAAAATTCCAACGTCTAAAATCATAACTTCTTAAGCCATATTGTGAGGCCCATATTTGCCTTTAAAATCTGAACCAAATCATATTATTATCTTTGTTTCTAGATTCAGGAGTATTTTGAATTTTTCTTTATTCTTAAACCTAATGAAAAATAAAGTATTATATAAGAAGTTTTAGTTTGTCTGAGATAATGCATACATTAAAACTTACCATAGTATTTTTTTTATTGTTTGGCTTACCATAGTTGTTGATGTCATCATTAGTCATTGAATAATTCCTGTAATGTTTAAGAGACACTGTATTAAATCAAATGCTAACTTCTCTTCTTTTCTCATTCCCCAGCCATCTGTTGAATCTTCAAGTCCAGGTAAGTATTTCCTGCATTTTTTATGATTTCTGTTTGACATTTGTCCTGTTAGTTGCATAGACGTTAGAGGAGTTAGACTGTCATCTGACTTGCTTTTCTTCTGAATGCTTCTTTTCTCTGGGGAAAAAGAAATGGATGAAATGTTTGACTGCCCATGAAAGTACAGGTGGGGCTGCTCGGAGCTCATCCTCGTGACGTCTTGGGGCTCTTCTGCACTCTTTCTTTTTTTTTTTTTTTAATGAATTGCCACATGTATTTCTTAAAGTTTTAAATTGTTACTTGATTTGAAGTATACCCGAAGTGTATTTTTTAAAAAGGAATCAGTTAGCTTAGAAATACTTGCTTGTCTAGGAAATTCACAGTGTTTTATCTGAGGGAAAAAATTGTTAATTCATTTAAGAGGGAGGGAAAAATAAGCAAAAAATTAAACAAATGAATATTTAATGTTGTAAATTAAGGAAGTTATTCTTACATTTGAATAGTATCAGTTTTTATCCTCTGACCATACAGGATTTTTGTATTCTTTTCCAAAATAGTACAGATTAATTTTTTTCCTAATTTAGAGATTGCAAACTTGGGATCTTTGGACCCAATCTAGGCCACTATTTTTCTGTTTGATCAATGTAGTGATCTTTAAAAATTAGAATCTGAGTTGGGCATGGTGGCCCACACCTGTAATCCCACCACTCTGGGAGGCTGAGGCAGGTGGATAGCTTGAGCTCACGAGTTCAAGACCAGCCTGAGCAAAAGTGAGATCCCATCTCTATAAAAAAATAGAGAAACTGAGGCAATAGGATCACTTGAGCCCAAGAGTTGGAGGTTGCTGTGAGCTAGGATGCCATGGCACTCTACCCAGGGCAACAGCTTGAGACTTTGTCTCAAAAAAAAAAAAAAAATTACAATCTGGATTTAGGGTTCTCATAATCAGTTGTGAGATCTAGCACCACTGGGTATAGCATTCCTATGAGACTAATTCACTGGAGTTAAATAGCAGTAAAGAAAGTCCAGTACTAGTCTTTTGGCCTCGGTGTACAGTGACTTTACCGAGAGAGAGATTTGCCTTCTGTGTGGGGGGGTGCAGGTTAACGGTCAGCCTAGTACAGAAGAGGGACCAAGGGAACCCTCTGAGTCGTGGTTAATGCTTTATTCGAATATTTGATATATTCCACATTACTGAATTTTCTAGATTATCAAAGCAATTATCTTTCTGTGTTTTAAGTTTTAGGAAGGGGGCTTTTAAAAATTCTTGAAGTGACCCCTTTTTCGTGGTCCACGGTCCTTTTCACGAGCACAGATCACTGTATTCTGAGGGTTGGTCAAGCTCATCTCCACATCTTTATAAATGACTAGTAGACTCATTCAACAGTTGATTTTTGTCTTATTTCCACAGAAAATACTCTAATGTGTATGGGAGTAAATTGCATTAAGCTTTGTGACATTTCTGAAACTCAATATGTAAATTATATTCTGGATTGTTGAGGTTGAAGGAATCTGACTTCAGACTCAGTTAGATTGTCTATCCTTTTTAGAACATTAAATTGTTCTTGCAAACACAGAAATCACTTTCATTGAAAAAATAGGTTCTAGTTGTTACTATGAATTTTTGAAGCCCTCATCAGGTAATAGGCATGGATATGTGGAGGTAACCTCTCCAGAAGCAGCGTTAGTAAATGGCTGTCACAGTTTTCACTGCATTTTAATCTGTCTAGGCTGAACTGGAAAAGTAGTGGAGTTGGAAGAATACAAAGTATATAATTTAATAGCTTTTGCTACTTGTTGAATACTTATACATACAGATTGAATCTTTATTTATTTATTTAGATTGTTTTCAGACTGAGGAAGATCTTTGGAGTTAACATTTGTTACATGGGGCTTCTACCCAAGGGACCGCTAGTTACAGGCAGGTACAAAGTTGGTGGAGAAAATTAGAAATAGAGTCTTCATGTCAAAAAATTTTTGGTCCCCTGGTAAAAGACTGTGTCCTTTGTAGCGTCTGAAGTTTGAGATCAATGCTGGTAGTAACACATTGTCACATGACCATGTTAATTGGTTTGTCTACCACCGTTGCAAATTCCAGTGGTAGAATAATACAAGGCTTTATCTGTATGACTAGTAGCTGTTAGAGGTGGGGATAAGGGAGGGGAAGATATTTAAAAAGTGACTGAGTGAATATGACATAAAGTAGAACCTCCATAGTTGACCACCTCCCTCCATTGATCACTCCTTGAGTTGACTTGATTTTCATAGACCAGACATGCACCACAGGTATGTGTCAGTGCAGTCAACATAGTTCCATATGTTGACCAGTTTCCCACAGTCCCCTGGGTGGTCAACTTACAGAAGTTCTGTATTAGAAGCTGAATTTATCTTTGAGTCTTTGAAAAGATGTAAGGTCCCTTTTAGTCATTCTGCAGTAGGCTAGGATTTTATGACAAAGCAGTGGTATTTTCTTCAACTCAGAGGAAACTATATTTTTATTTTATTCCTTACCCTTAATCATTTATTGAGATATTTTTTCCCTTAGAAGATGGCCTAACAGTAGGCCTAGCAGTTGACAAGAATAATAGGATGGTTATTTGGTCCTAAAGAGCAAGGTAAAAAGTAAGTCAGATGAAACCAAGAGGTCAAATTGTACAAGAAAAAAAGTGAAATTAAAAATTTACAGAAAAAGTGTAATGTATCTGCTGGCAAAGGAATTGGAGTGAGAAAGGAGTTTGTGTGCACTTTGTTATTTGATGTGTAAGGGAGTGAACTGGGAACTCTTCACACATAATTGGCTTTGTAAATAATGACCAAAAATTGGTACTTCAGGTAAGTCACATAACATTCATGATTTTATGGTGTGCTCGTACAAGCTTGGAATTTTTTTTGTATAGTTAATAGAGTATAATAGTAAGTTATTAGGAATTGAACAATTTTAAACATAATTATTTTTGGCTATCCTTGCATCAAGTAAAAACATCTGATTGGGGTAATAGTATACAAAGAGGTTTGTGGGGTTTTTTTCTTTGAGGATCTCTGTACCTAGAGGAGAGAAGGAAATTGTAGCATTGTCTGTAGGAACACAGTTACTGACCAGGACTGTCCCAGGAGGCTCCTAGGAGAGCTGAAAAGTTGCAGGAAAGATTGAAAACTCAGAAGAGAACAATTGGCACAAAAAATTACACTTAAATCAGTGGTTTCAAATTGTGCTCCTGTGGATTCCTTGTGTCCATTCCCTCAAGCAGTACTAAGATGTTCTCCTGAAATTATATTTTTACTTTGTAAATAATTCTAAAACATTGATAAATGTTAATAATTCACTTTTACCATAATTTGGTATAAGTTGGTATCTGATTTGGTAGATAATTATGTACGTAATTATTTCATATTTAACATTAGTATTTTCTTTTCAGAGGGCACAGTGAATTCTAAGCACTTTACCACATATCCTGGCTTGCAGTTCACTCTTTTAGTGAACGTAGGTGTCCCTTTGGGATTCTGTGAGGCAGGACACTCAGATGAATCCCGGAGTGTGGAGTGCAGTGAAAGCTCCGCTGCTGGCTCTGGCGTACCCAGGATGCGCAGCCCATCTTTGCCATGTCCTGGCTCTGAACTTAGACATGCTACTTCAACTCTAAGCCACCAGTCTTGTTTTTTTGGTTTGTTTGTTTTCTCTCTTTAAACAGGATGATAATATCTACTTTATAGTATTGTTTGAATATTAGTTAAGGTAATGTATGTGAAGTGCTTTAGCATACTATCTGGCACATAATAAACACTCAGAAAACGGTTCTTATTCTAAAAGTTGTGGGAAGTGACAGAAGAACCCAAGCCTTGGCAGCCCCTTTTTGGTGACTGTGGGATTTTCAGGAAGTCAGCCTCTGTGTCCCGTTGTTTTGCTAGTTAGTTCTTTTGTTGGAGTGAAGTAAAGAGATAGGTACATCTAGTAACCTGTAGCCTTCAACAGTTTAAACCGATAAAAACCCTAATTAATTTTTTAGTGATGAGGAAATCATGTGTTTGTTAGTAAATAATGCTTTTGCAAATTTAAGTCTAGGTTTGGCTAGTGTGGGGATATTTTAAGCATATAGAAGCCTGCCCTTTGCAATCTGCTACTACAAAGTTTGACACTATTGAGTCCAGCAACATTCCCCAACCACCAGGCTAAAAATAGATTAGCTTATACATCATTTGCCTATTAGATTATTTTCATGTGTTTTAATAAGAGTTCAGTATGCAATTTTAATAAATTTTGCTGTTATACTAGAGTTATTTCAGATCAAAATCAACATAAGTTGTGAACAGCTAATCAAGTATTAAAAGTATTTTTAAGGAAGTTTTAATGGAACGATAGTATTTGGCAGCTGCATTCTCCCTAGACCATGTTCAGATGGCTGAGTCAGTCATCCCTTGGTACCTGTGGGCTTCCCGCTGAGACCAGAATCGTGGACGCTCAGGTCCTTGATACAAGATGGTGCAGTATCTGCATATAACCTGTGCACATCGGCTGTACTCTGGTCATCTCTAGATTACTTACAATAACTAATACAGTGTAAACACTAAGTAGATATTTTACTGTACTGTTCAGGGAATAATGACAAGGAAAAATGTCTGTATTGTGTTCAGAACACATGCATGTTTTAAAAATATTTTGGATGGTGGTTGGTTGAGTGCAGAACCCATGGATATGAAGGACCGACTTTTTTTTTCTCCCCAGAGGTCAAAGGGATTCATAGTCACTGTGTCTGTTAATTAAATAGCTAAGAATTGTGGGTTTTTTCCCCACACAAAAAGGTCATTCTAATTTCATGTTTACAAAATTACAGTGCACTTTTTGTTATTGTTTTTTGGAGATAGGATTTCAGTCTGTGCCTGAGCTATGTACAGTGGCATTGTCATAGCTGCTGCAGCCTTCATCTGCTAGGCTCAGACAATTGTCGTGTCTCAGCCTCCCTACTAACTGGGCCGACAGGCACACACTATCACTCTTGGCTAAGGTTTTTTGCTTTTTTGTGTTTTTTTGGTGGCAATGGGGTCTTGCTCTTGTCCAGGGTAGTCTCAAACTCCTGGCCTTGAGCAATCCTCCTGCTTCAGCTTCTCAAAGCGCTAGAGTTACAAGTGTGAGCCCACCAGACCCAGCCAACATACTTTTTATAAACATTTTTTTCTCTTAGTTTTGCATTTGAACTGTGAATATTTAGGGGTAAGACAAGACAAAAAATAACCCTTTAGAAGAGATTTTTTAGTGGCGATGAGCAAGGTCAAGAATTTTAAAGACGATAAATGATACTCACTGTGCGTAGCTTTTTCCTGGTAGTTTTGACTTCTGTCCAGCTCCAAATAAATGCAGCATATACACTGAATAAATACTGATGAGACACACGTGATCCGGTTTACCAAACTTGTTGAAATATTCTTTACCAGGGGGTTCAGCAACATCAGATGACCATGAATTTGATCCATCAGCTGACATGCTGGTTCATGATTTTGATGATGAACGAACATTAGAAGAGGAAGAGATGATGGAAGGAGAAACAAACTTCAGTTCTGAAATAGAGGATCTTGCAAGGGTAAATAACACTAAGAGCTAGAGGATGGAGTGGTTGTACTGTCTTTGTGAAGAGAGGAAACATTGGAAATTTTGGATCTCTGTCTTTGTGGGAAAGTTATTATATATATAGTCCGTACTGAAAAGTTCTGTGTGATCACAGGTGGCATGTTCAAAGTTTGAATTGAAAGGCATTTAAAAAATTATGATGTTCAATAATAGAATTCAGGTAGTAACTTTGGTAAAACACCCAAACATCGGGGTCAAAATGGATTCTACCCAACTTCTACACCTTTTATTCACTCCCCTTCAGAGGCAAACAACAGTGCCTCGAGTTGTTACCATTTTCCTCATTTTCCATTAACGACATAAAGTGCTCTCAACTGTCTTTGCCCTTCCTGTCAAGAAGGCAGTGACTTTCACGATTATACCCGTCGTCCCGTTCTCTTTCTCCTCCCACCTTTTGTCTCAGTCATACTCAGTGTAATTTACCACAGCTTTTGCTTACTTGGATTCTAGAGCACCCCGAGTCCAGGTTCCCTGTCTCCGTCCCTGTTCAGGGCCCTTCACCAACTCCTTCTCTGCCAGAAGTTTCGAGGCGGTACCCCCAGTTCTCTTTCGGCCCCTCTTTTCTTCTCTCCTGTCTCCTCTGTCCAGATCAGTGCTTCTCAGAGGGTAGTATGAAGGCCAGCTGTGTTAAAATTACCTGTGCACTTACTGTAAAAAATAGATTCTTATGCCTCGCTGCAGGCATACTGAACCAGTCTGGGGCGGGGGGTGTTCAAATCCACATCATTGTTAGGCAGGTCGGCCTTGCGTGGGCACCACGTTTGGAAGTTAGACTGAGCCGTGTGAGCTGATCCCCTCTCCTGGTGTCTGACCTGCTCAGTGTTCCTTAGTTTGCATTTCTGGCATTGTCTTACTTCCCATCTCTCGTTTTATCTGCCTTGACATCTCTTTGCAGATAATCTCTAAAATTTAAATTTTTACATTTAAATTTAAACAACTGTTTACTGTTGTTCTCCCTCAACTTGTTCTTTCCCTGCCCTTTCTGTCAGTAAAAAATGGCTGGACTGGTTACCCTTTTGCCTAAGTCAGAAACCATGGAGTCATCTTATTTCACTCCCAATGTCCAATTCCTAAATAAGCTTATCATTTCTATCCACAAAAAGTATCTTTTTGTTCTGTCTCTGCCTAGAATGACTATAGTAGTTTCCTAACTGGTTTCTCAGTGTCCTCCTTTCTCCTGATACTTCTACCCAGCGGCCATGATGATCTTTTCAAAATACAAATCAGTTTTTATTAACATCTTGGCTTCCTGTTAACTCCAAAGAAAATCTAGACTCCTGATCCTGGCCAGCATGGCCACTTGCTTGATAGTGGCCATGCTGGCTATTTCATCTGTGCTGCTTTTTTAAATTTATTTATTTATTTTTATTTATTTTTTGAGACAGTCTCACTTTGTCACTCTTGGTAGAGTGTCCTAATGTCACAGCTCACAGCAACCTCAGACTCTTGGGCTCAAGCTATTCTCTTGCCTCAACCTCCCAAGTAGCTGGGACCACAAGTCGCCACAACACCTGGCTGTTTTTAGAGATGAGGTCTCACTCTTGCTCAGGCTGGTTGCACACTGATGAGCTCAGGCAGTCCACCCACCTCTGCCTCCCAGAGTGCTGGGATTGCAGGTGTGAGCCACTGTACCTGGGCATACCGGCTGCTTTGTTCTTCAGCCAGTGTATTCCTGCTTCACAGCTTGTCAGCTGGCTCTGGCTCTCTGGTCTGCCCTTCCCAAGGCTGCTCCTTACCCTTTGGGTTTGTTACTGCCTCCTCAGAATGGCTTTTTCTGGCTCTGCGATTAGCTTTTTAAACCACTGTGTCCTCTTAAATGGTTACTTTATACTTAACACAACTTCTAAATTTTTTTTGTTTATTATCTGTGTCTTCTGTCAGTTCATAGCAGAGGGGACTGAAAACTATTAAATGAAGGAAATGGATAAATTAATCCAGTATGTGCTAATAAAATCTATTATGCATATGATCCACTGCACTTCACGATAAAAATATAAGAAATAAGATAACAGTGTCAGCTTTTAAGGATATTTAATAATACAGTATCATGGAAAATTAATATTTATACTTTTCTTGTAATAAAAACAGATTTGTATCAGAATTTTAGTTTGGAACTTTTTGAAGTGTCATTTGAAGGACTAGAGAGGCGGTCGGCCCTGCTGCGGTCTGTTCTGACCTGGTCAGGTGGTCTCATTTTGCATCATTTAGTGATTAGAGTTGGCTTAAGCCACAATTCCTAAGCAGTCTAATACTTTATTATTTCAAGCCAAAGGATAGACTTTTTCTTAATGGGAGAGGCATATGCAGGTTATCACAAAAACTTTTTAAGAATGAATTAAAAAGCACACAGATCTTGGGCGTCAGGCTGTTCTTTTTTAAAAATAAGAGGCTGGGAAGCTATTCAAAAGACAAGGGTAATTTGATTGGATGATTTGGAATTTAGATGAGTGTCAAGGGAAAAAATTGATTTAATAGTTACTCACAGTCACTTCATTTATTTGTAAAGTGGGAGGGCAATTATTTTCAGTTAGCTGTTTATATTCACAGAAATTTCCATCACTTCCAATATATTTTCTCTTTCTGAATAACCTGTTATTGGGATAAAAGGAAAAGGAGGAAAATCTTATATTTTCCATATTATCACGTTTGCATCCAGTATCATAATAAGTAAGTTACTTTGTGATAGGTTCTGAGGTAGAGTGATGGGTGTTTTCTTCTGTTTCAGAAAATGGGCTGTTACGTTTAATAAGTGTGCAATTAGAGGTTTTGCTAAAATTTCAAGCACATCATTGCCTTTTTCTGTTTCTGTTTTTTTCCATCTCCTTCCCCAGTGTCTAATAGTCCCCCCAATTTGCTTTTGAATTTGCTTCCTTAGGAAATGGTAATTAAAATAAAGTTATTTATGGAGACTAGAGAAAGGAAGAAAAAGACAATGGAACCAATCCTTTATTATCCTTTCAATGAGTCTATACCTTCTCAGATTCTTCTCTGACTTCTCCCAGAAATAGCTGAAGCTTAGATTTAAGGAGCACATAATCACAAATGCTGTTATCTGTAACTTGAAGCTGAGCTAGCTCAGGGCCCATATATTGGGTTTACTATACTTAAAAACTCTTTAGGTGTGAACCAAACCAAACTGGATTTTGCTTTTGTTAAAATAGTGAGCAAGATTTTGTCATGTTGATTACTGGCTTGCTGTTAATGTCAAGATTTGGTAATGGGTTTTTCACCTGGCCTTTTGGTTGTATGAAATTTTTTTTGATGTTAATTATGATAAAACTGTGACAGTTGATTCATTTAGGAGCAGCTAATAACTGTGTGGCTTGTGGTTTATAGTTTATTCAATTTGAATTTTAAAATCTTCAGTGGAAACTGTAAAAGCTTTGGTATATGTTGTTACATTTGAATGTATTTATCTTGTTAATGTGAAATGTATTTTAATTGTGTAAATTTGCCAGTTAAATGCTCTAATAGAATTGGATGTATATGTTAGAATTTATAGTAGTGATCTTAGAAAGGGTGTCCACCATTCCCAGAGTAAATCGACTTCTGTCTGCTAGAACTAGCAGCATTGAAGTTGAACTCTGTTTTGCACATGCACTCTTGAAACTGAGAGACTCTGAAGGGGCGCAGTTATAGCAGTCCATTTGGGAGAATATAGGTCAGTATCATAATATCTTTTTGTTTTTATTTAAAATAGATGGGATCTTGCTTTGCCTCCCAGGTTGGAGTGCAGTGGCAGTGGCTCAAATGCTCCTGAGCTCAGGCGGTCCTCCTTCCCAGCTGATTGAATAGCTAGGCTTGGAGTTGCCTGCCACCATACTAGGCTGGTTTTTTAAATGTTTTTGTGGAGATGGGGTCTTGCTGTATTGCCTAGGCTGGCTTCAAAATCTTGGCCTCAAGCCATTCTCTTGCCTCAGCGTACCACAATGCTAAGGTTACAGCAGTGAGCCATTATGCTCAGCTGGGATCATAATGTCACTATGTATTTAAATATATTTTAGAAAAGTCACATCATATCAGTGTCAGTACTTACTATAGATATTAAAGTGCTAGGCATATTCCACCCAGAGAATTAAGATTAAAAAGTGAAAGACAGATCTTTCTGAAGTGTACACACAATGTGAAGTGTTCACTCCCCTGTTCCTTCATCTCTTCTCTTCTACTCAGTCCCAGCCCCAAGAAGTTGGTTACCTTAGGAACCAGCTCTCTAGTCCAATCTGGATGTGGTCCCATAGGCCTTCCTGCCTGGAAATCAGCCTCTTTTCTTTTTTCTGTCCTCTTCATTAGCATTTACTGGTCAGTCCGTTTTGGTGCAGTGGGTGTAGGAGGAGCACTGTCTATGTCTACCACGTGGCACGTGCTGTCACACTCATCAGCCAGCCCTCTGATGTGAAGACGGGACGGCCTCTGCAGCCGCCTGTGCCCGTTCCTGTGTTTCTGTCATCTTGTGCTGTGCCCTTCCCTTAGTCCTCAGACTGTCAGCCCAGAGCCCCTCACTGCACGCTGCAGTGGGTGTTGCACACTTAGCCTCAGGTTAGGTTTCATGAAGGCAGCAGGTGGTGTGTGCATGCGTGTGGGAAGGGCAGGAAGGGCCAGTGGTGTGGCGAGTCAGAACGCACCTAGCTCCCCAGCCGCAGTTCAGCTGGTGACTTGATACATGACTTAACATTGTTAATCCTTGGTGGTTACTATAAGGATAATAACTTTCAAGCATTTAGCTAATGTCCAGTACGTGATAAGCACTTAATACTTAGTAGTTGTATCATATGTAAGATTCTGAAAGAGGTCTGTGCTGTACAAATATGAAAATTCACAATTAGACTCATAATTTTCTCTTTGTGTTCCCATATTTCTATACTTTTAAATGAATCGGAATAAAACACGGTGCCACCTTACTTTGATACATCAATTTAAGTTGAAGGAAGCACCTTACTGCCTGGTAGAATGGAG